TGAGAACACCCTATGCTCGGCCCGGAGAAGTGTCTGCAGAAGGACTTGGGACAAAGCCGGGCTGTGCAGCTCGGTGGGTGCTCGGGCACCGATGCCACTTCACATGCCCGCCGCTGGTCAGAGGGGAGAGGCCAGCCCACAGCTGCGGCCCACCGCTGGCCTCCCTGCCACCAGCGCTAAGCTCCAGGGCCCCTTCCTCCTCCAGTTGGCACCGGCGGGAGCTGGTGCAGAGGAGGGCTCGGGTCCCCGGGAAGGGAGAGCAGAGGGGCTCCGCTCTTTCTTACTGGCTTCTCGATGAGGTCGATACAGGGCTGCAGGTCGAGGCCGAAGTCGATGAAGTTCCACTCGATGCCCTCGCGCTGGTACTCCTCCTGCTCCAGGATGAACATGGTGTGGTTGAAGAGCTGCTGCAGCTTCTCGTTGGTGTAGTTGATGCACAGCTGCTCGAAGGAGTTCAGCTGCAGGGGGAGAGGCCGCGTCAGAGCCACGCCCCGGTCCAGGCAGCGCAGCTCGGGGTACGGGGTGGCACGTGCCCTGGCTGGTAAGACAGCCTTCCCTCTCTCCCGCCCAGCAGAAGGGGCTTCACGTTTTAGGGACCCTAGGTAAGGACAACCCTTCTCAGAGCAACGGTCTTGGGAGGCACAACAGACAGGCGATGGAGGGAGGACGGCAGGTGGGCATTCCACACCAGCCCGGTGCGGCTGGAGCGGCAGGGGGCTCGTTCTCTATCAGCCACACTGGACCCCTGCAGCAAACCTAACGGGACAGGCCGGCTGGTTTTTGCAGGTGACAAATCGCAAGCACTGCCGAGGTCACTGTGTTGAGGGTGGGACCAACTTACAAGGATCAGGGAGAGGTTTAAGGGAAAATACAACGGAGGTGTAAGCTTTCTCCCATCCACGCTCATGCATGGGGTCCTCCCAATCGGCCATAGGCCTCAGGTTAGAAACACAATGATCAGGTGTTCCTCTCCGACCTCGGCACCCTTGGGAGCAGGGACACTGCCTTGTCCCCATGCTCGAGACATGTCTACTGGGAGAATAAGCGGGGGGTGGAAGCACCTGCCCGTGCCGGACTGAGGGCATGAGCTGCACAGCGCCGGAGCATTCTCCCAGCGAGCCCCTCGACAGGATGCGGCTGGCTTTGAGTGCTGTGCGACCGAGGGCAGAGAAAGGGGCTCTGGGGCCAGGGAGACAGCAGCCAGGGGCTGAGTGGTCGGCCGAGGGGGCTCACATCGAAGATCTCGAAACCGGCGATGTCCAGGATCCCGATGAATGAGGCGCCCTGCCTCTTGGTCTTGTCCAGGGCCTTGTTGATACGGAGCACCAGCCAGCGGAACATCCGCTCGTAGGTGGCCTTGGCCAAGGCCTCGATGGCAAAGTCCGCCTGGGGGGGTGAGGGAGGGATCAGGGGGAGCATGAAAACTCTCCCACCTTCAACCCCCTCCGTTGCCAGGAAACTAGTCCAAGTGCAAGGAGAAAGCCTCAGGCACAAATGTGTCCCCTGCGGTGTCGCTGACAAAACCCAGCTCATTGCCACCGAGTGGACTCGGACTCACAGTGAACGAGCCTAGAGGACCCAGTGGACCTGCCCGTTGGGTTTCCCAGGCTGTAAATCTGCAGGAAGCAGGCAGCCTCAGCTTTCGCCTATCAATCGGCAGATGGGTTCGAACTGCTGACCTTGCAGTTGGAAGCCCAATAGGTTATCCCCATGGCTGCCACCGTTCCCACAGGGATTGCCAGGCCTTTCCTCTGCAGTGACTCTGGGTGGACTGGAACCGCCAACCCTTCATTAGCAGCTGAGTGCTTAGCCATCTGTGCCCCTCAGGGTGAAGGAGGCGCTGACGCTAGTTAGGAGTGGATGGGTCCAGGGGTGATGGGTGGGTATTACAGGGGGCGGGCATGTAGGGGTTCATAACATCAGCCTCTCCACTTTGCTCACACGCGTTGGCAAGCTCCATTAGGAGACAGAGGAAGAGCTCAGCTCTGACTTTAAAAGACAGCTGGGGAACAAGGACTTGTGGGAAACAAGATCTCCCCAAAAACACCACCCACGGGACTGCGGGGGACTGCAAATTTCCTATTGGCTTCCATTTGTGTTTTCTGAGCTCACTGCTGTCCTAAGGAGAGGGGAAGGGCTCCCCGGTTACGAGGGAAGGGTGCCAGGGCGGCGAGACGCTGCTGTCTCGGGGAGGCCATGTTCCAGTCTGCTGGTGCGGAGGCAGCTCCCAGCCACGCTCGTCAGCGCTCCACGATGCTGCTTCCTTGGGAGAGGACTGGCCACGTCACACCCCAAAACCTCTGTGGACGCTGGGGCCAGTGCCTTAAAGCTGGCAGACACTAAAACCTGGACCTGGCAGCAGAGGGAAACCGCCCTGCTTGTCTGCACACATGGGGCAGCGGCCTAACCTGCCTCTTAGCACCCACGAGTGCAGGGCAGTGGGGAGGGGAGGGCAGCTCGAGGATGATGGAGGCACCAGAAGGAGCCGAACTGTAGGAGATCAAGCTGGTGCCCATCTTTCTCCGAGCCAAGCAGACTCCCTTCCTCAAGCCCGGAGACTGGGCAGCCATGGGAACAGTGGCAGTCCCTAGCCCATGACATCACTCCTGGGCGGGGGGCTCAGTTTCCTCAGTTTGAAAAACAGCTGTGACCTCTCTGTCATGAGCCAAGAGGATGGAGCCACCTCACCTCGAGAAAAGGTCTGGGATGACCCAGTGACCCGCCCCAGGGGACCAACCTGGGATGCCCGTGTCGGGTGCGCCGGGCTGCAGGGCAGGGGAACTTGCTGGGTCAGAAGTAGAACCTGGGTATCCCCCCACCCCACTCCACCTAGTTGGTCAGGAAAAGGGCTGAGGGGTCAGTGGGGCCACAAGGTCAGCAGTTCACAGATGAGAAAAGAAGCGGGAGCCTGCTCCTGGCCCACAACCACAGCCTGGGGACCCCATGGGCAGGCCCACCGGTCTTGGGGGGCTCCGCTCCGCATGGCCTCAAGTGTTTGCTCAGCTGGCCGGGTAGTCGTCAGGAGTGAACACGGAAACCGGGGTGAGAGTGCCTAACGCCCCACCCTGCACCTGCTGTGCGTGCATGCACACCTTCAGCCAGCGACACGCACCCACTCACTGTGGCACGCACGCTCCAGTGTCGCTGGCTGAGGTACTGTGGCCCGCATGCTCACAATACCATCAAAGTCACACATCCTCGCCCTGGGCCACGGCCACGGCCCTGACCGGAGACACAGACACACACGTAGCCCTCCATACTGACACTCTCCCACTTTCACACCCACCATGCACACACACTCCTGTCCTGGTGCAGCCGCTCGACCCACTCCCATTGCCCACAGGGACACTGACCTGCTCCTTGGTCTGTGCCTTCTGGACGTAGTCCCGCCCCACCTTGATGCGGGGGGTCAGGATTCCTCGGGTGAAGTCGGTCACGTTGATGCCCAAGAGGTGGGAGACTTTTTGGGCAGCTGGGGTTCCACAAAGACAGGGAACATTCGAGTTACACCCAAGAGAGCAAGTCCCTCTGGGTCCCTGGACAATCACTGCTCCCGTCCCACCCCACTGATAGCTGCGCCTGGCCCTCTCAGCTGGGCCACAGAAGGTGCGGCATGTCCCTGGGACCCGGCTCGGTGTCTGCACCGCAGGGCTGGCTAGAGCCTCTCTGCCCCCCACCCAGGATGAAAGTGCTCCAACTGGAGGCCCTGCAGCATCTCCTCTGCAAACCTCCGCCCCCACCCCCGTCCTATCCCAAAGGGTGTCCGTCCCCACTCAAAGTTGGGGCTGAGAGGGAACAGACTCAGACACCCCGGTCAGGGGCACAGGGCCATGCTGGACAAGCAGCACGGCCACATGGCCCTTTTCTTAGAAAGAGCAGCAGGTGGGGTCATAAAGCACCGTCACTCAGATGGGGTCACTAGCTACCACCCAGGGAAGCGGCCGTGGGCAAGCCCGCCCCAGGAAAGGCAGTGCTGTGTGGTGGGTGAAAGGAAGTTGGCTCTGGTGCAGGACGGACTGCTTTGGTGGGGCCTGGGCTCAGGATGGACAGAGAGGGAGCCAGGGGTTCGTTTCTAACCCAGCCCAACATTTACATCGTGAGAGGCGACAGGGCTCCGTGCACACAAGCTTCACAAAACCGCAGAGCGGCCATCAACACTCGTGAGGCTCCAGGGGCCAGGGGCGCATGTATCATCAGAGCACCTGGAGTGTCCGGACGTTCGTTCTTCTGAGCTGACCGGAGCCCAGGCCCCGGCCCAGGCGAGCTGAGCACCGTACCTGTGTTGTCGGGCATGGAAGCCTGGTCGCTGTTGCGCTCCTTCTTGAAGACTATGTTCCCCAGCTGCAGGACCCCCGAGATCACGCGTAGCAGGCCTATGAGGGCAAGGGGGCTGCTCAGAGCCAGGCCTGCACTGGAGGGGAGTTCCCTAACCCAGGGGGTCCCTGACGAAGAGGGCTCCCTAGTCTCTGTCTCATAGCGTGTCAGGCAGGGAGCCAGCCTGCAGGGGCTTGCCCCCCTCTGCCAAGTGTCAGCACTCCCAAGTCTGTACCAGGGCTTTCACGCTAGACCAGATGTCCGAGGCCTGTTGGCAATAACGTCTTATTGGAACGTTGCCAGGCCCTGCGTTTCCATGTGGTCTGTGGCTGCTTTGGTGCTTCCAGAGCAGTGAAGGGACCCCAATGGAGACCTCAAGGCCTGCAGCAGGGTGTAAGCCAGCACCCCCCCCCCCAACCTGGCCCCTTTCTAGGACACGTGTGACCACCCACGAAGGAGGAGCCACACTGGAGCCACAGCGAGAGCTCAGGGGTCCCGGTGGAGCAAGGGTGACAGGCTGAGCTGCTAACGGCAAGGTCGTGGTCCGAGAAGAGAGAGAACACTTTCTACTCCCGCAAAGAGTTGGGAATTCGGAAGTTCCCGGGGGCAGCTCTACCCCGTCCCATTAGGTGGCCAGCACCTCAACGGCGGTGAGTGTGGCTTAAGCTTGACGGCCGGAGCCTGGTTTAGAAGAGGCGGGTGGGATGCGGTCCCCACCCCCTAAGACACTCAGTCCAGAAGGATGGAGAGGATGTAAGTAGCATACAGACAGATGCTAGCATGGGAGGTCAGCCTTAGAGGTCAAATAAGAGAAGGCCTGGCCTGAGGGGCTAGCCCACCGCCTGGCCAGGAGACCCCCCGCCCCCCAGGAGCTCTCTGATGCTGACAAAACAGGGCAAATCCCTCAGTCCCATGGCAGACACAGGACTGAGCCCCTGGCAAGTGAGTGTGGCTCCCTCCCCCAGCCTCATGCCACACTAGGCCGCACCCTCAGGAGATGCAGGTGGGGAAGCCGGCCCCACCACACACACAGACTAAAGACTCAACCAGTCCGTGGGATAGCTCCCCCAAGCCCACCCCCGCCCCGCCCCACCACATACCTGCCCAGGGCTGGGTCTACATTGCTGTTCACCCTGGGCTGCCCCTCCCCACCCTTCCAGCCTCCACCCCACAGAGGCTGAGACAAGGATCACAACTGCAGGGCCCCACGGAGAGACTGGCGGCTGCAGGCAAACCCTGAACCCCACAGCCCCCGCCTTCCTCCTGGCCTGAAAGCAAGCCTGTGGGTGACCGGCCCCCACCCCGAAGCCACGGCAGGACCAGCCCTGTACCCATTTGCTCGTCCTCTGGGATGCTCATGATCCGCATGGCCTCCATGGTCTCCTGGAACATGTCCTTGTCCTGCTGCCCGGGGATGGTGATGTGCCCGTTGGACAGGAAGCGGTACTTGTTGTACGGCTCTAGCAGGAGGTCCGCTGTAGGGGCCAGAGGGAGTCAGTGGGGTGGCAAAGCCAGAGGCCACACCCCAGCCACCCCATGACCACCAAGGTCTGGGGGACTAGAAGCCTGGTTCCCACGACGCCCAGTGGGCCGAGGGGGCAGCCGAGAGCCCTGAGTTCATGCCATGTGAGAGAACTGAACACCCAGGGAGGCAAAAGCGCCTGCAGGTTAGACCTGCTGACATGGGGGGGCGGAGAGGGGGGCACTCCTCTTCTCCAGACTGAGTCCCTAAGACAGCACAGAGGGCACCCGTGCTGATCTTCCTGCCCCCACCCCCACCCAGGATCAGCACCAGGCGGCCTCCAGCGACTCACTCTTCAGGTGCTCTCCAGCCCCAGACAGGAGATAGTAGAAGATGTGGAAGGTTCGCTCGTCTTTGGCTTGGCGGATAGCGCGGGATTTCTCCAAAAGATCTTGGCAACCGTTAAGGAGCTGCGCCGGCTGCGGGATGGCAGTCCCTCCCCGCCCCCTCCTCTCGGTCCCCTCGCTCCCACCCAGCTTTTTCATGGTGCAGCCCAACAGAACCCCGAGGCGAAGCCTGGCCCCCGTGGCCCTCTCCCCTCCCAAGGCTGCCTCTTGTCCAGCCGCTGAGGGCCAGGAGGTGAGCGGGTGCCCACAAGCAGAGGCTGTCACGCAGGCCCCAGGAAGCAGGGAGTGGTATCTACCTAAGCCCCTCCCAAGAACCAGCATTCATTCCGGGTCCCTCTAAGCAGACTCTCGGGCTCCCCATAGAGAGAGAGATGGACCCTGAGCTGGTTTGCAGTGCTTTCGTGCCAGGACGCCTCCCTACTCCCAGACACGGCAGATGGGGCCCCTGGGGAGAGCCAGTGGGGTCAGGACTGGGCATCGCTTCCCCTGCCCCGGCGCCCTCTTTTCTCTTTCTGTGCCAGACCCTCCTCAGAAGTAGCCCAAGGATACACGTCTCGATGTTGGCTCCCACAATGTAGCCGTTGACATCGAAGTTGATGCGAATGAACTTGCCCTGAGAAAGAACAGACAAGAGGTGAGTAGCCCCCGCATCTTGCCCTGACAAAGAACAGACAAGAGGTGAATGGCCCACACATCTTGCCCTGACAAATATCAGACAAGAGGTGAGTGGTCCCCATATTAGGGACCAAGAACAAGTCCCCAACCTCTGCCTCCAGCAGGTATGGAATGGTCAGGGGACCCAAGTCACCACCGTCATGGTCCCCCACCCCCTACCCCCTCTGGACTGGTCCTGAGGCTGATGGAGATGCTACTCGGCTTGGAGCCTGACTGTGAGGACAAGCTGCCCAGATCCTCTGAAAGTGGTCCTCGCCACTTCACCTGCCCTTGGGGGTGGAGTGTCTCCTGGTCAGAGGGGCCCCGCCAGGCTACACAGCAGGACCAGACTGGGAGCGTGCGCTCGGTGGAGAGTCCCGGGTGCCTCCCTGTCCTGCCCACACTCACAAAGCGGGAGGAGTTGTCGTTCTTCACGGTCTTGGCGTTCCCGAAGGCCTCCAGGATGGGGTTGGCCTGCAGCAGCTGCCGCTCCAGCTCCCCCTGAGAGGGACCACAGGGCAGTGAGGCAGGGGCCGAGGCCCAGGCGGGTGACCCCGTCCCGCCAGGCAGGTGACAAGTGGCGGCAGAGCTGTCTGTGCGTCCAACACGCCAGGATGGAGGTTCCGACCCTCGTCGGGGCAGCCCACCGTGCCTGCCTGGGCCGGGTCTCTTGTGCCACTGAGGCCTTGCTGACCACGGGGTCCTCGCACCAGGCCAGGCCCTAACTGCTCCAGGCTGAGGAAACTGCACTTCGAGTCGCCTGCACACCTGGGCGCCCTCGGGAGCCGGGCGGACTCTGTACTTACTAGCAAGGCTGGAGGCGAGCCAGGGCCTTCCCAGAAAAAAAGGCAGCCAGGAGGGACGGGAAGGCAAGCTAGTGACAGGGGAGGCCCTGGGAGACCTGCCCGGGGGAACTGAAGATGGTAATCCAGGTGAACGGGAGGCCCAGCAGGCCTTGGTACCTGAGAGCCCCTAAGAACCCTCCCTTCCACTCCTGGATGATGCAGAGAACACAGGCCCTGCCCCAGACCCCTGGCCGCTGACCACAGCCCAGAGTTCTCCCTGGGAGCTGAGCACAGTGGGGCAAGGCACCAGACTCCCACCCACCACTGTAGAGTCAGACTGGGAGGCTTGCTTCTCCCCAAAGATAGAAAGCACCCCTGGGAGCTCAGGCCAGTCTGCCAGATGGCCACACCACTTCCATTCCCGGCAGCCAGGCGGACGGGCCCACCCAGCCCTGCGGGCGGCCCAGTGGCAGGGAGAGTCTGGGCTGCTCCCAGCTGAAGACGGGAATGCTTCCCACCGCTGGAAATCTCACGGGCTCACTGAAATCTCTAGTTTTCAATGAACTGAGTGGTGTACCCAGAGAGGAAGAGTCAGGAGACATAGGCTTGGAGGCTTGGACTCGCCCGCCCAGTTTCTAGAGGGCTTGTGGGGGCTCCGACTAACCATGAAACACAGAATGGGGGAGGGAGGGGGATCCCCGGGGCTGAGCCCCAACGACAGTGTTCTCCCTGTGACCAAGACCAGCAGCCCCGCCGCCAAGTCCGCAGCTCTGCCTGGAGACTGGAGGAGGCAGGTCGAAGCCCAGCGGTGGGGTTGGGGTATCTCAGGATGAGGAGGGGGGTCTCCAAGGATGAAAGTGTGCCACCACAGGCCTCCCAATGACCTGCTAACCCACGCCCATCGAGTCGATCCGACTCACAGCAATCCCCGAGTGTCGGCGGAGAACAGGGCCCTGCAGGGTTTCCAATAGCTGTGACCTTTGGAGAACCAGGCCTTTCTTTTGAGGGTTAGTCCAGTGCTTCACCGTCTGCAGTCCCCAGTCCCCCTGGTGAACCCAAGTTCAAGAGCGATCTGATGCCCCGACTGGTGTGGCAAGCTACCAAACCCGGGGGGACAAAACGTCACATCCACGGATAGAGTCAGTTCTGACCCACGGCGGCCCTACAGGGCAGGGTAGAGATTCCCCTGTGGGTTTCCTGACTAACTCTTCACAGGAGCAGAAAGCCTCCATCATGTCCAGGAGCGGCTGGTGGTTTCGAACTCCTGACCTCACACTTAGTAGCCCCACTGGTACCCACTGTGCCACAGGGCTCCTCCGTGGAAAGCCAGCAGGTGAACTGGTGCGTCTGGCCCAAAGGGAGGGCGTCAGGGTCAACAAGAGCCAGGGCCAGCATCACCAGCGGGTTGAGTGGACTCAGAGGCAAGGGCAACACACGCGTCCTGCACCCCGAGATGAGTGGTGTGTTCCCCAGGCATGACGTCACTGCTGAGTGCTCGGGGCGGCCCCCACCCATCCTCAGGTGTGTGTGAGGTGTGTCACTGTGTCCGGCCTCCGGCTCACGGTTCCCTCCGGGGCACCAGATGTGCCCTCGGCATTCAATCAAGAGTTAGAAACTCCAATTTACTGCGAAGTCGAGAAGTGGAGGGACCAGAGCCGGAAAATGCCTAACCTCACCACTAGGCTCTTAAAATAGCCCCCGAAAACACTGGGAAACCCCGGGGTGGGAGGAGGGAAGGGAGTGGAGACGTTATTAATTTCTAAATATAATTGCTGGCGCCCCATGGAAAGAGAGTCAGGATGCCATGCGGAGTCTGGCCAAGTTCCTTCTGGTGCCACTCCAGAGGAGGGGCTTGCTCCGTGGGCCATCCTGCAGGACACACCCCGGCCAGCATGCAGAGGCCCCCCCCAGTGGCACTCGGTTCTCACGCGGAGGTGTAAGAGTGGTGCGTGTGTTTGAGTGAGGGAGAGAGGGCACCACACATTCATGCTTAAGGCTGGGCATCCGTCCCCAGCCGATGGGCAGCCCCAACGTGGGCCCCCTGCCCCAACACTGCCGCTGGCCAGCATGGAGCGATGGCAGGTGACAGGGACGGCCGCCCGCCTCCGGCTCAGCCTCTGAGACCTGGGCCCCACACCCATCCCGCTGCTGTTGTGCAGAGGTCAGGCCACTGAGGACAGCAAGGTGGGGTGGCCTCGCCGGTGTTGTAGCAGGCGCTGTCATTTCAGAGTGCAGGAAAGATCACTGTGCGTCACTCCCACCCCCCACCCCCACCCCCCCAAGGCCAGTCAGTGTGCTGGGCCGAAGAGAAGAGTCCTAGCTGCAGAAAGTGACCACGGTGGAGTGAGAAGCTACTGCTGCTGCTGAAGAAGGAGGAAGGAAGGAATCCACTGACTAGGCACACGACGGGCAGAACACGCATTCCCGGTGCAGAACGTGCAGAAACGTGCAGCTCACCTAGCCAGGACACTGCCGGGGCCGACACAGTCCACCACGAGGGAGGGGGAGAGAAACGGGCATGAGACGACGCTCCAGGCACCCTCTCTCTTCCCTGGGGGGGCTGCCCACCCAGCGGGGAAAGGAGGCAGGTCTCCACCAACCACGGGGGCCGGCCTTCCAATCCTTCTGGCCGACTTTGAAGGCGGACATCGACGCGGCTCGCAGGGCAGCGGGCAGCTAGCCCCCGGATTGGGCCACTGCCAGTTTCCATGGAAACTCCGAAATCCAGGAGGAGGGGAGGACACGGGTTTGGGCCCGCGGCCCCATTCCCCACAGCGCCCTCATGGTCAGCCAAAGCCATGAATCCCTGCAGGCTCTGCCTCGGCGGTTTACACGCTGCCCAGTTATCCCAGAGGAGGCCTGGAGGGCCGGAGGCGGCGCACGGGCAAGACCCCCGCACTCACCTGGTCCTTCTTGCTCTTGTGCGAGGAGGCTACGTGGGCCAGGTACTGGATGACCTTCTTGGTGTTCTCCGTCTTGCCAGCTCCAGACTCACCCCTGCCACGAGAAGGATCCAGAGGTTCATGGCAGGTCAGCCCCACTCTTCCTATCTCCCTTTTGTGGGGAATGCCCTCCTGCTGGGCGTCCACAAGGAACCCAACACCGGGGGCAAGAAAAGGGGCAGAGCCAGCTCGGGTCCCAAGGCCCTCGGGGAGGTGGGGCCTGTCAGAGGGGAGCTGAACCCCACTGCTGACCTGGTCACTGCACATCCAAATGCTTCAGGGCTCGGTTTTAAGTTTGAGGCAGCTATTGACTTGGAGCAGCGGTTCTCAACCTGTGGGTCGTGACCCCTTTGAGGGTCGACCGACCCTTTCACAGGGGTCGCCCGATTCATAACAGTAGCAGAATGGCAGTGACGAAGTAGCAATGAAAATAATTTTATGGTTGGGGGGGTCACCGCCACATGAGAAGCTGCATTAAAGGTCTCGATATTCAGAAGGTTGAGAACCACTGACTTGGAGTTCAAAGGCGCTTCCTCTGAATCTGCCCTGGCAGGACTGTTCTGTACCGTGAGCACCCTCTGCGGGGAGGTGCTCAGAGGGTGGCAGGCAGGTAAAGAAAGCCTCCTCTCAGGGACAGGTTCCTGGGGGGAGACACGCTGTGCGGGGAGGGGTGTGTGTCTCAGAACTAACTGGTGAATCGGCCCCAACTGGCTTCCCACAGGAGGGAGACTCAGTTTCTTCTGGGCTGTGAACGCCACCCACCCACTAGCTCCTTTGAGGAAGGCAGATTAAATCTCCTTTGAGGAAGGCAGATGAAATCTCTGGCCATGGACTACAGCTCGTCTCGCCCGGCCCTCTGCTGAGTAACCGGCATGGAGCCCGAAGCTCTGCTCTTGGGGCGGGGCGGGGAGTCTCAGACTTCGGAACGGAAAGGGGGGGGGGCCTCGGGAACAAGAGCAGACGGGGCAAAGAGACACTTACGTGCACAAGATGGACTGATCTTCCCGATCTGAAACAAAGGAAACATGAGTGGCGTGGTTGACATCACTCCAGGCGGATGCAAAGCCTCCCCATTTGCCTTCTGATGGGCAGTGTCCCAATTCTCAGAAAGGAGGACCAAGCCTCCAACACTCCGCCGTCCGACTCCCAGCACTGCCGCAGCCCTGCCAACACAGGCTGACCACCAGTTTCGCAGGGGAGAAGCTGCCTCCAGGCCCAGGGCTCAGCTGCCCACTGCCACGGTGCTGCCCTGCCCCATAAAGCCAGACGCACTCTGAGCTTCACTATCTAGAAGGCTGGTCCATGGGAAACCCCCAGGAGCCTCTGCTCTGAGCGCTGGCGTTGGCTGCCCAGGTGTTCATGAAGAGGCTCTGGCTTCAGGGTCAAGATGTGCAACATGTGTTTTCTATACTGCCCCCAGTGATTCCCACGGTGACCCTACATATGGTTTCCAAGGAAGCAATTCTTTATGGGAGCAAGCAGCCTCGCCTTTCTCCCGAGGAGCGGCCGGCGGGTTTGAACCGCCCACCTTTCCGTTAGCAACCCTATGCTTACCCACCAGCACCTCCAGGGCTCCTTCGTGAAAAGAAGCCGAGCCCATGAAGCAGCTGGGGGGTGGCGGGCGGTGCTGTAGGCCAGACCTAGAGGGCTCAATGCCTGCTGCAGGGAGTGCGAGCCGTGTGCAACCTCGGAGCCTCAGTCTCCCCCCCTGCGAGACGGGACAACAACCAATCAACTGCCAGCCACGGACTCCGACCCAGGGCTCCCCCGGGGACTGTCAGTGGTCGGCTTTTCCAGGAGGTTGCCAGGCCTGTCGCCTGAGGCACATGTGGGAGCTGGCGAACACTTCCCAGACACTCGTGTAAACAGCACACATGGAGCAGGATGTCTTGCCCGTGGGAGCTGCACGTGAATTACACGTGTGGAGGGAGCCTGGTGTCTTGCATGGGGGAACTGTGTGTAAATAACACGTGTGGCGGGAGCCCTGTGTCTCGCACATGGGAACTGCGTGTAAATAGCACGCATGGAGGGAGCCCGGCGTCTCGCCCTTGGGAGCTGCATGTGAATTACAAGTGTGGAGGGAGCCCAGTGTCTCGCCTGTGGGAACTGTGTGTACATAACACGTGGAGGGAGCCTGGTGTCTCACACGTGGGAGCTGTGTGTACATAACACGTGGAGGGAGCGTGGCATCTCACACATGGGAACAGCATGTAAATAGCACGTGTGGAGGGAGCTACTGATGGACGCTTGTCAGGACGATGGCTTTGGAGGGGCCTCTGTGAGCTCAGAGCTTCTCCAAGCCCCCAGCTCCCCGGGGAGCAAGAACGCAGCCCGTTGCCCGTGGGGTGGGGTGGGGTGGGGTGGGGAAGACAACGTGTGTGTGGTTCACGCGTGGACAGTGAGACCCGACGGGATCCCCTGACATTCTAGCCTGAGCCAGGTCGGTTCTGGGCACCCGACGTTAAGCAAGAGCTGAAAATAGACATTGCTCTTCTTCGCCCGGCCCTGGTGACGCTCACTGGCTTTGCCTGCCCTGGGTCGGGATGCAGGGCCAGTCTGTGGACGGAGGTGAGCTGTGGGGCGCTCCCTGAGGCCCACAGCTCAGCTTCCTTACTCCTAACAGACATCTCTTTGCTACGAGCACCCAGGCAGGGTGATCTGGAAAAGTCAACCTGTCTGTCACCTCCCCAACACAACAGGGTCACAGGTACTGGCCTGGCCAGGGGTGGGGGAGAGTCAGCTGACCCTGCCCGACAGGAGACCTGCCCCCCACATGGACCCCCATGCTGTGAGCGTTACACCACCAATAATCTAAACTCAGTGCCTCAGAGCGACCCTATAGGACAGGGTAGAATGGCCCCGTGGGCTCCCGGGGAAGCCCATCTTTCTATCTCGGAGTGGCTGCTGGTTTCAAGGTGAGCAGCCCACGCGCCACTACCCCGCCCCCGATCTTCCTCTGGAAAAGCAGCTGGGCGGCTGTGAACTGCCAACCTTCCCACGAGCAGCTGTGTGCTTACCCACTGTGCCACCAGGACTCCCAGAGGAGCACCAGGAACCAGGCAGAAATGCAAACATGGTGGGTTCTGAGGAGCACTCGCTGCCCAAGGGGGGGCGGGGGTTGTGAGCAGGCCCACAGGACTGGCCGCTGGGAGGACAACGCCTGGCCTGGAGAGACAGAGTCAGCCAGCCAGCCAGTTGTGTGATGCCCGCCGTAGGTCAGGTCACCTGCCTCTTCACAGCGCCCCTGAGCTGGCCCACTGCCTTTTCCCTCTGCACCCTCTGCCTGCTGGGCACTCAGGAGGGCAAGAGGGAAGGATAGAAAAAGGAGAAAGACAAAAATCATACCCAGGGCAGGGGGTGCAGTGGGGGGTGGAGGCTGCACTGCATGTTCACTCAGGCATACCCCGCACCTGCTCACAGAGGGGACAGATGGATGGATGGACAGACTGCCTGCTGCCCGTCTGCTTGTGTGGTCTCAGTTCCCAAGCTGCCAAACCCATGCCAACACTGGACCTGGCACAGCCTCGATAGGACGGTGGTTGGAGTGAGGCCGCAAAGAGGGAGAGCACCCTCCCATCCCTCTCAGGACCCTGTGGTCAGGGCTTCTGTCCCCGGGGCGGGCCGTCGCCTCCTCCCCCACTGCTTCCCGCTGTGGTCTCCCTGCTGCGGGCATGTTTCCTCGCTGCTTTGTGGAGCCAAAGCCGGCAAGAATGTACCTGCGCATTCAGGCGAGCTGGCGGAAGGCAGCAGCAAGGGACCGGCACTACCATAAAAGGAAGCATTCCCCATCCTTTCCGCAGGAAACATTTTCTCAGGGCTGCCCAGCCCAGGCCTGGGATGGCTGGGATTCCTCTCATTGTGTGAGGAGGAGTCAGGAGTTGCTGAACAACAGGAAGCAGAGCCCCAAACGCACGCATGTGCACACACGTGCGGGCACACACAGGCACAGGTGCACCTGGACACACTGGTACATTACGCACAGAGATGCGTGCACACAGGTACAAACACATGGACACACACGGGCTCATGTGCATGCACACAGGAGCGCACAGAGCAACACGTATGCACACACAGGTGTGTGTACACAGGCGCACGTGTGCACACACATGCATGCTCACCTAAACAGGCATGTACACGCATCTGGACAGGTGTGGAACATGTGTCCCTGGGCACATACACACTGGAGCGGAGGCCTGCAAACACTCCAAACTCCACAATCCAGACCCAAACTCGCTCAGCAGCCGCTATGCTGTCCTGAGCCCTGGCTCACCCACTCCTCTATCTTCCACCCCCAGCTCCTGAACGGGTGCCCGTTGCTGGAGAGTCAGTTCGTACTCAGAGCGACCCTCCAGGACAGAGAATGGCCCGTGGGTTTCCCAGAGGGAGACTCTTTCCGGAAGCAGACTGCCACGTCTTTCTCCCAAGGGAATGGCTGGTGGGTTCAACCCTTCCCTTAGCACAATGGTTCTCAACCTTCCTAATGCCATGACCCTTGAATATAGTCCCTCATGTGGTGGTGACCCCCGCCCCCAACCATAAAATTATTTTCGTTGCTACATCACTGTCATTTTGCTACTGTTATGAATCGGGTGACCCGTGAAAGGGTCATTCGATTCCCCCCAAAGAGGTCGAGACCCACAGGTTGCACCACTGCCTTAGCAGCTTTGCCACCCTGAAAGAGTCCTCCAGATGCCTTACTGCTCTGCTCAGGAGACCTGCATCTGCTTTGCCAGAACGGTCACCTGGCCAAGGCGTCGGGGAGGAAAGCTGATAGGAGCTGCCCCCTGCCTCCACCCCACCCAGTCCACCTGGCCACGGTGACTGGCCCGGGGCCCCTTATATCCAAGTCGTATAGTCTGTCTCAGTCTGGTCCCTTATCTTGCAGTGACCTCCCGCTGACCTCACAAGACATACTGTTAGCCCTGTTTTGCACACGTCCCTTCTCAAGGCAGCGCTTCCAAGTTTGCTCCGGAGTGCAGAAGCAGGTGACCTGCGGAGAGCCATCAGCCCTCTGCCTGATTCGGTTTACCCTGGCGAGGGCCCTCGGACGCCCATCAGCTCTTCTGCACACTTTCTCATCTCCCAGGAAGAGGAACACCCCTGGGGTCTAGCCCAGGGCGGCTGCTGTGACTCAACTCCTTATTTGGGTTGAGGGCTGCAGGCCTATTTGGAAACGCCCTTCCTTTCTCCACACAGAGGGAGATGGATGGAGAGACAGACAGACATGTGCGCCCACACTCGGACCTCAGGATCCGGGGCCTGCAGAGTCCAGGGGAACCCTGTTCTGAGAAGCAAACTTAAGGGCCCCTGCCCATCCTGCCCTGGTCCCTATCTGGTGTGGGCAGGCAGGGGAGGGTGGGGAGGCAGGGCCAGCTCTCCTGGGTGGTCCTCAATCTAGCTCTTTAAAACGCAGATGCCTTTCCTCAAGGGGGGGGAAAAAGTCTCTCCAAATCCCCACAGGGGCCAGCAGAAGCTGAGAGGCTAGGCAGCACTGGCTGAGGAGGGGCTGTGGGCACAGGGCACTGCAGAGCAGGTCAGAAGGAGCCCACCAGACCTGGCCAGGGCAGAGGCTCCCATCCCCTCCAGACAGCTGGGCCCCTGGGCCTCTCTGGGTCACTGCGACTTGGCTCTTGGTGAAATGAAAAGGGGCTCCCCTCACAGAGCAGCTCTGAGGCACCCAGAAGTGCCCACCTTCCCAGCCACCCCACCTGGGTGCCACTCTCTGCCTCTCCTTTGGAGGCTCCAGTTCTGTAGTTCCTGGAGGGGCGTCTCTGAGCAGGGCGAGCAGTGAACTGTGTTAGGTGCTAATGGATAGGCAAAGAAGCCCCGAAAGAAAGTTCTGGTGACCGACCTCAAGTCGTACCCGAGAGCCAGCCCAATGGGCCTGTGTGACTCCCTGACCTGCACAGGGCTGCCCTGAGGGGGCGCTGGCCCAAGAGAACTGGCTTGGGGTTCTGTTTCCTATACCCTCACTGAGGATCCCCCCCTCTCCACCGCCCCCCACCTCTG